TGCAATCGCGTCACGCATCTCCTCCGAGATGTGTGCCCTTCCCCAGGGCGAACTTAGGGAATACACGTCCCTATGTGCACGCTGCAAGTTGTCAACACAACTCGCACAAGGGTCTCCCCATGTGAGGCAAGGAATGTCTGCCTCACTCGACAAACAGTGCAACCGGTACCTAGCACCGGTTGGCGTTTGCCTTTCGAACCTGAGGCGTGTCACCTCAAGTTTCTTGAGCCACCCTTCTCGTCCAAAATTCTTTACGTTTTGGACGAATGCGTTCCACGCAGCCAAAAGCGATGCTTTGTCACGCTTTTGGTTGCCGTTGTACCATCGATGTCTAAGAAAGACATCGAGATAAAAGTCTTCTTCAGCGCGAAAGTTCTTCGCGCTGGAACTCAAGCCGTGAAGCTCAGTCGCATCGAATAAGGGTATTCGATGGTGTTGACTTGTCTCGTGAGACAAGCTATTGATGAGCCGTTCGGGCAAACGCCACGGCTTCGGCTCATCACGCTTCACAGTGGTACCTCTGTCGGTACCACGACTCCCAGATTGACGACGGCTCACGCCATCGTCATCACGCTCTTGCGAAGACGCACGAGCCGGTGGTGGTAAGGAATAATATTCCCCACCGCCCTGATCATCGTCATCACTGCCGAACAGACTGTGATGCAAATCACGAGTCCGTTAGTTCGGCAGTGGCCTTGGAGAATACTGAGGCGTCGCCGGTGAGCGAGACGCCTCTGGCGCATTGGCCGAGTCAGACACTTCTGACTCGCCAGAGTAGATGACCTCAATGTCGGGGTCATCATGCGCACGCGCTGAGTTGCCGCGTGCACCTGCAGCACCTGTTGCTGCAGGCGAAGAAGGAGCAGCAGACGACGAACCGTCTGCCGCAGAGGCTGGCATAGCACCGGGCTGTGTGGGTCTTGAGTCACCTCGCATAGACATGTTAAGTGTGCGAGGTCAAGCGGAAAGTGAATGGAACGGACCCAACAAGTGCTCCCTGTCCCAATGGTGGCCAACGGGTGGCCGCCATATTTTCGAGTCACAAGGTGACTATCAGTTAAGGGGGGTGATGTAACAAGCCAGCCCGTTACATGGAATTGTCACTCTAAAGAAAGTAACAATAAAGAATATGAAGTTGAATATTCCTTGAACAATATCACCAAAGTGGTGATATTGAAGGGTCGGCCAAAGAGTCTGATCATTGGTTGATATCTTGATGATATCAACCCACCAATCGCCGCAAGACGCGCGCAATGATTGGTGACGAGACGTCACCATACACTCAGTTAGATTTGTATAATTAAGTTAAGTCAAACAGAGAGACAGTAGTTAAAAGACTTAATTATATTAATACAACAGTTTTACTTTATCCTTATCCTACGCTTCCTCGTTCGCCTCGTGTACGTCTGTCGGGGCACCGATACCCTTGCGTTAAGTTCACGCAAGGGTGTACCCCGATACATTTAAACCAATGAGTAGAAGTTGCTGAATATTACCGATGCAGTATTATCCAAGAATAATAGCTGCAAAGATACTATTTACATCGACCTTTATTAATGCCAATATCATGGAACGCCCCGTTTCACAGGTAGTATGCGCAAATGTAATGCACTTGACGCGTCTAATTCTATATGAGCTGTTTATCAGTTTTTTTAGTCCGAGCCTACTCGAAACATGGTGGTCCTTTGCCACCAAGTTGAATTTTCAAGGTTCTTCCTCAAGAACCGGGCAAACTTCATATGCGTCTCCTCTTCAGCACAGTAGTTTGCTTTCTTGTTTCGAGAGGACAAAGCCAGCAGCATTGTCATTTTCAAGTGGTCCGAGGGATCGTGTCAAGGAGGCAATGCTGCAATCACGAGTATTGTTGCCGACTCCATCTTCACATGACCTGGTGCAGCGCATGATGGGGTGAGTATCGACCAATGACCCATCAAGTGCTACGCTTCCGATATCGCCACTCTGTCGCGCAGCCGGCCAAGCGCGTGCACAGTATCGAACAGCTTATCGCACAGCCAGCCAAGCGCATGCCCAATATCGAAGAGCCCCCCGTGCATTCGACCAATCCCACGGCTATCATTTACGCTGGAGAAAGCCTTTGTGGCTAGCAGCTATTAACACCTTTGTATGCGATATAGATGCTAACACGTTTTGCTGTCAAGTCATTGCTTGAGACGCTCCGCCAGTTCTCGTTCACGACGCTTGAGATACTTACTTATTTACTTAATACATGATATTCTCCAGCTTGAAAGGCTTATGCAACTTGACATAGAAGATATCGATGTCATTGATATCATCATTACCAGTAGCTTACGGTAGCTAAACGCTTGACACGGCACTCGGCTGTATGCAAACCGCGTACGGGTACCGAGATCGAGCGAATCCTAACCTCGCAAATCACTTCACGGCCTGTTGCTTAACGGTTATCATCGCAAGTTTGCAGGCAAATGTCCAGCTCCAATGTCGCAATCATCGGTATTACTTCGACAGCATCGTGGAGTTTGCGCGGTTCACGCCACCGGTGCTAGAACCAACACGCCTGAGAGGGAACCACAATTGCCTACATCATGGAACTGGGGCAAGGTCGGACGCGCATCGAGGTCGTGAATGACGGAGGTAAGATCGATGCGTATATATGTGTAGGAAGATAACAAGTAAGAAAACGCACCGGATGGCGCCAACTTGGCCATTTCCATGATCTCTAAGCCAAGTGAAAGCCGTGTTTTCCACTTACCAATTCGCATTACTTTTGAATATCGCATCCGTTGCGACTATCAAGCACGTTAACTTGATACTCGCAACGGATGCGATATTCAAAAGTTATTCTCGGACGACTATGCACTGCGTTCGCATCGCATGTACTACCAGGCCTCGCCGACTTGTAGACCGATGTCAGCTTGTGCTTGCATGAATCACGCTGCGTGTTCGTCTCTTGTTCTTTCGACACCTATGTGCTGACGCTCTTACGAGATCGTAAGGTGAACAATAGAGAAGAATCTAGGTGATCAAACTGCTAAACTGCGAGAATCGGATCAAAAGCATGGGCTTGAAGCCGTTCGAGGAACCTCCGGGAATTCTTCGGAGGAGCTTCCCCTGGTTACTGAGAAGTTTGCAGTATTTCCGGCATCTGACTGCCTACGCTCGCTCTTACGAAGAGTTGCTGTCGTTAAACATGACCGTATGCGAACCCACCCGACCGCATGAGAAAGAAGAAAACCAGACAAGTCAAAGGGATCAGCTGACAAGCTCTGCACGGAGACTGTGCAAGCGTCTAAATACGCTTGTTGCGGGCTGCATCAGTTGACGAAGCGCTTGACCTCACCATCAACTCGTAGTATGCCCATCCCTTTTGGACAAGGTACGCTATGTCAGGCATCACGTGTCATGCACGTCATGTCAACGAAAACATTTTTTTCTATCCAAGAATAGCCAGCGACGCACAGCCTACCATTGAGGCGCATGCCCCTCTTTAGCATAGCGCTGGATCACATCTTGCGTGAAACGGTCGCCACGATGTATGCGGCCTTACACACCATTAGTACGAGTGCGTCGACGCGTTTGAAAGTCCACAAACGTGTGCTTCACTTATGTTTGCAAAGGGTGTTCTTCACTAATGTTTGCAAAGGGCTTTGCTGTGGTTGAAGACCTAGACCATGCCAGTCGTTATCACCGGAGATTCAGCTTGTGCAGAAGATTCAGTCCTGGGCAAGAATACCGGTTGTCTACCGATGTTACACGCGTTCAACGATGCGCGTCTGGCTGTTTTCTTCAGCGCGCACCAGCAGTTTCGACGATGCGAGGGGCCCTGAGTCAGGTACGTTCTGGGTGGACCTAAACGAGGTCTTATCTGACTATCATAGCCGGGCACTCCCGATCGGCCGCTACAAGCAGCTGATATGGCCCCTCACTGCCAACGCTATCATCTATGTGGCTCGGGAGGTCGGAAAAAGTCTTCTCGTTGCGGTGCTGGATGTACGCATGTATGTATTCTCACGACTTTTTCCACGGTCAAAACGCATTTCTATCGGCACATTTCACCAAAGCTTGCTCTGAAATTATCCATGCGCGTGACAGAAGGGGGTAATCCTCCGGTCCCTGTCAGCGGGACCGGTTAGAGCTTTCATCTCTCTAATTTAATTCGCTGAAATGTAGAAAACCGAAGCGATCCAATTCGCTGAGGGCTTTTTATTCGACTTTACGTAGCGCCACAATTGGCTAGAACCCGTGCACAGACGCCACACTGCTCAGACGGTAGGGTTAGTGCGGCAACCCCCCAATATCCGGTTTTCAGTCGGTTGCTCTCTCAGTAAAGAATTTGCGCTGTCGTACACAGGTGAGTAAAAAAAGAACGACCACAGCATTCCCACGTGCGCGGACCGGCGCGGACGCGAGAACAGCCGTCGCTCGACTGGCAGACCACCAACTAACGCTGTGGCTGTGCTTTTGTCGTGTGTCTCTACGCAGTAGTGCAGTTGTATCGTAAGCCCATTGCTCAGAAGGAGATAGTTCTTCGTCACCCACTTCAAAACAAGTTCGCACACGCTTTCCAAAGCTTTTTGTGCCCGAGCTCGTCTTTTCTGTTCCCCCGTCTTCACGTCAAGCAGAGGGACAAAGAGGCGCGTTGTGCCTGCTTGCTTGCATCTTTCTGTGCGCGCATCACCTGCTGCTTTGTTGCGCTTGCGCACGTGCGACAAACGAAAGGGACCGGAGTTGCCGCTTGGCTTGGTTTTGCTACTAGCCAGCCACACGCACTTTACGCACAAAACGCTTGCACCCGCCCACCCACCCCCACGCACTTGCACCCACTGTCTCACGCACGTACAGCGTCCATAGGTTTTGTAGGTAGTTTTCGATAAAAGCTACTGAACGAGGACACCGTGGCGACGACCGTTGAGACCCAAGCGAGTGAGGCAGAGCAAGTGATAGGTGTGGGCTAAGAGACTGTGTCATACCGACAAGCCACACGACACTGCGACTTGAGAGAGAGAGAGTGAACGTATCAAATGACAGCGGAGGGCATGCGTGCCAAACGACGAACCACTTACCAGAACATGCACGAGATTGTCAAGCTGGCGAAGAAGTACTCCCCGAAGCTCGTGAAAGGCTACAGTGCAGGCAACATTTCCGTGGTCGATAAGAAGAGTTGGTTGGAAGTCTGCGACCGTAAACATCGGTACGTTTGTCATGTTATTTGAATTGGAAGTGGGTCGTATTGACTGATGGGTTGTTGACGAGACAGGTATGGCGCCAATTTGCGAGCATACTATAAAGAGTGGAAGCGACAGCCCACGGAACCGACGAAGCCGAGTTTCTGGGAGTGGCTGGACGACGAATCAATTGAAGTTGCTGGCGTGCCCAGAACGAAACTGGAGCGCGAGACTGTTCTCTACTGTGACACAGCTGCTGAACGCCAAAAGTTTGCGCTGTCGGTGCAGAACGGCGTGATTGTGCGTGATTCTGGCCAAGAAATCGTGGAAACGGGACCGGATGGATGGATTTTCGTCCTGCGCGATGGTGTTCTCTATGGCTGCCAGAAAGAGACGAAAAAGATTCCTCGAATCCACCACACGAGCTTTGTTGGCGGAGAATGTGTACAGACTGCCGGAATGATGGTGATTACGGACGGGGTCATTAAGACTATTTTTCCGCATAGTGGTCACTACCGGCCGTCGGAGTACGAGCTGCTTGTGCTGTTGCGCTTTCTAGTCAACAATGGTGTCGATCTGAGCGCTGTAAATGTCGACGTACAGCGGATCCAGAAGGTATACCGCGAGTCGGTGAATGGCATTCTTGTGCGAAAGTTGGACAATGCGCATTTCTGGAATGCGTACCGTGTATGGTATTTTTTGGAAGAGAAGCATCTTGCGTGGAAAATTGGTCTATTCGACGAGCTCGTTGAGACGGTGGGGCAAATGACGGACACGCACGTGTCACTCGAGCGAGCTGAGATCCTGGAGGAAAGTATGGTAAAGGAGATGAACGACGATGCGTCTGAGAAATCGTTTCATGACGGCAGATCTCGTGCGTTTTCCCTTTTGCATCCAGCCTACGACCATGCGAGTTGTGAAGGTGCGATAAAGTAGCTGGTCCATGCAAGCTGCAGTTGTGCGGCGCTCGGTTGCCGCATCTCGAAAGATACAACTTGCTCTCTCGCGTCGAGACACGACCGTTACCGCTCTTCAGACAGCGTCGGATACAACACCCATCAAGCCATATGATGTAATCTAGAGTGACGAGGGACTTGGAGGGTCTCCAGTGTATGGTACTTAGCACATTGATAGTTAGTTAGCAAGCAGCAGGGAAGACAAGGTCGATTACACTGCGAAGTCGACGCGTAGCATTCACGACAGGCGCGCCTGGTTTTTTATTTGATGAATGAAGTCGGTTTGTTCGTTCTTGTGTGTTCTTCTGGACAACGCACGTCAACAACAACTGTTTGCTGTCCAACGCGATGGACGATTGTAACGTGTTGGCTGTTTGACGCGTCGGCTATGTAGAGCGCCGGCTGTTTGGATGCTCCGCAAGTTCGCGATGATGGCGCAGGGCGTGGACGAGTCGTTGAAGCGTCTTAGGTGGTCGTCTACCTACACTACACATTGCGCTTCGCGCTCTTTCTTGGCTCTGGACTCGAGTTTTCTCCCTACCAATGTCCTGATCTTGCAGCCCCATGTAATTCACTGGCGGCACCAGACGGACATTTACTCGAAGCAACAGCGTAAAGGGTGAGAGGCATCAGTTACTAACACACAATATCTGAATCGACGGGGCATCGATGACGCTGGAGTCGTAGTGCTCTCTCGGATCTAGGTTTCATCATACACCATGGTAGCAAACTGTGCCACCCATGCCAATGGTTCCGATAGCGTCGTGTCGCCGACGTCACGGACACACATTCGTAAGTGGCTCTTTTCAAAAGCTTGCGATAGTAGCGGAAAGATGCGATTGTCGAAGACATGTTGGGATCCAAGCAGTTGTGCGATACCGATTGCTAGTGCGATTTGCGCTTGGGTCTTGGTCTTGACCAGCTCATCTTGACGGACTATGTCCTTCCTCCAGCGAGGTTTGCGTTGCCTGTTCACATTCTTCCATCGAGTTTGTGGGACAGATCCTGCGCATGACTTCCTACTGGCAAGAGAGCCAGAAAGCGCAAGACAGCGTTGCAAATACCGAACGCTGGATGAATTTACAGACTTGCATGCATCTGTGCGCCGCTTCGTGGCGCGGCGGTTGCACGGCTTTCGATTAAGGTACTATGCATCAGCCAAATACATTCAGCACACCACTAGTGCGACTACTTGACGATGACAGTCCGGTCTAGTGTTTCACCACCTGGAACAGGAAGTTTCGCGTGCCAAACTGCTAGCAGCATCCAGCACGTTCACACGACGAAGTGATACAGTATCACTCCTCCTGCAACAGGACGAGCAATTTACTTGCAGGTGCATCGGTTCCGGCGGCAGGAAGCAAACTAACTGCAGATGCAGCAGTTTTTCGCCTTTGTCAACGACTCAGCAACTTGAAAGCCCTGGCTGAACACCTACACCGTGTGGTTCGAGGTCTTGTCACAGGTTCCCCCAAAGTTACGCAACCTGTGCACGACGTCAAACGAGATGTAACGGACATTTTCATCACGTCTTTTTGCAGCGTATTTATTGCTCGATTGCTTTTTCGCTCCCGCAGCGGTCAAAGTCCGAATTAGAAACCACAAAGCGCATTCGTTTGGTAACAAGCTTCCTAGAAAAACAAACGTATAGAAACTGGCCACAGTGGTCGATGTCCCGCTGACGGCTCGACGCGACAAGTGCTGCAACTGTGGCAGACAACACGTACTGTAGGAACGGTCAAACTGCACGTACCTGCCACAACTGATAGATTCTGGACACCCCTACACAGCTATTTGCTACGGTACTGCGTGGCCGTCGTCGGCTAAACGGACGGGTCCAGGCGGCTGATCAGCGCAGTGGTCCCAAAGAGTTGTTTGTCGTACCAACGAGTGTTGTCAGAAGCGCTAATAAAGACTTGTGAGCCCAATGCCGAAGGACTGACGGGCATGTCAGTCTGTATAGCGGAACGGCCAAACTCGGGCGACCTGACTTCCATGTCGGCGAGAACATTGAAGCTACCAATGGAGACCACACATCGCCACTTTTAGTTCCCACGGCATAACTCGTGCAAACAGTTGGTCAAACTTGGGTGAAACGTGTCACGGTGCGTCTATATCCCATGACCTTTGCGAGCGGCAGTCGTGTCTGGTCAGACTCGATACGTGCCTACATGTGTCTCACCTTCACGCATGGTCGGGCACGATTGACAGCGTGCTGAATGCAGAAAGAAACGTAGAAGTGCGTCCCGACGTCTTTTTCGTTTTGTTGAGATCCGAGGCAACACGTCCAAATGGCGTCAACCTGGTTGGTCGTCCTTGCAGCATTCGACATACCTCTTTGCAGTGGACAAACAAACCCCTTTGCATCTGCCAATCCTCTTTGCATGCGCCACGACATTCGTGAGCAAGGACATTGTTGCAGCACTCATTGAGCGATCACTCTGATAAATAGGACCGCTCCGCTCGGCTCTGAACCAACGCTGTGATATCTCGGGACGCCTCAGTGTAAGTGCAAGAGCTCTATGAGCACAAAGTCGATTCTATCAACGTCCTTGGTAGACTTGCCGTTCACCACCTGCTCAGCAAACCACTCGTTCGTGATGATACACATGAGGACTTCAGAGGTTGTCAACGCGCATTAGGATCGAGAACGAACCACGTGTCTGGCAAATACCAAGACGAGAATGAGCAACCACTCCCTCTGCGTTCCTGCATTACAAGCACAGCCACAGTACTGCACACGCGCGGCCTTTGCCAGATCATCGTGTCTTTCATTTCTCTTAGCGATAACATGTTGTTTGAAGTGTCGGTCGTCACTCCAACGTCATTGACTCGACATACTTAGTCGACGGTGGCCATAGCAACGTCCTGCTCGGTGAACTTGCCCTTCTCCGTCTCGCTCACAGCACGGTTCTTGCGCTCCAAGATCTTCTTGCGGTCCTTGTCGAGCTTCAGCTTAGTGATGACTACCTTGGAAGCGTCAACGCCAATGGGCACCGACGCGCCGTTCGCCTTCTCGCGCACGACACGCTCGACGTGAATAACGAACTTCTTGCGGTACACAGCAGTCACACGGCCCTCACGGGACTTCTGCGAGCCACGCACGATCATGACTTCGTCCTCCTTGCGGATGGGCATGCTACGCACCTACAAAGCGTCAGATGCAGTAGAAAAAAGGGACAGCAACCATGAGCTGAGAGGCCCCTACTACGAGGAGCTCGGTTCGACGCAGGTGGCAGTTGGCTGCCTCGACACGTACGGATCCCGCGATGCCATGAAGTGCCAGTCTGTCTCTGCGAACGAGACAGAGTCTGACATGGACTTACAGCGCTGAAAGTACCAGCGTACTAACTTACATTGTACTTGCTCTGCAGCTCCTTGGACAGAGGCGCGCTCATGAGCACACGACGCTGGGTCGAGTGCGCGCCAAAGTGGGCCTTGCGGCTTTTGCGGCGCGACGACGATACGGTCGAGTTGAACTTCACTGTAGATGCAGACGACACATAGGACCGAACGAGTTAGCATGCCATACACATCGAGATCATGGTCGACGGCGCCAGTAGTGGCACGAGAAACAGCGACGTACTCTTGTTATCACGTGAGAAAAGAGATACTGCTGCCGTCGTGGCACGAGCGCTGGAAGCCAACCGAGGTCGACCAGGACGGTTCAAAGCAACGGTTAAGTGGTGTGAAGCGACATGAGGACCGTGGTATCCTGCAATAATAGGCATCATGGGAATTAATTGCGAATTAGACTCTGAGATGCGAATTATATTGTAAACGAAAAGCATTTGGTCGTGTTCTTTTTGGGCTCTCGTTCGAATAGCTCTGTAAACGCTGCAATTCAAGGCACTGAAATGTGGTCGACACATTTCGATATTGTAATCAACGAACCCAGCGGTGCTGTCATCACGTCGATAACTTTGGCTCATCAGTCATCCTATCGGTGCGCATATCAAGCAACATAGACCGACCATTTGGCCGTAGCTCATTATTTATGCTGATCTATCCATATGAACAACGCATGCATAGCCTAACTTCTTTTCCTAGCAATCGGTCCGAGCACAACAACCCGCTCGCTGTGTATCAGAATAGTGGAAAAGCAGCCTTTCCGTACTAATCACACGGGACCGTTACGGTATACGCGGACACGACTTGTGAGGAGTCTGTAGACCATTCTGGGCCGACCGATTCGTATTGCGTACTTTTGACGGCACCACCAGCTTTTGCTCTAGAGCGTGCTGGTCGAAGCAAACGCAAAAATGGATCCTTCGTTAGGTGTTGGCAGTACTAAGAAACACATAACATGCTTACCTCAATAAGGAACATTGCAGGCTTGCTGTCAGTCTGCGTGCTACAGGCTTTCACAATGTCGGCTGCGCTGGGTCTCCTTGTTGCGTCAGGATGCATCATCTTCATATTACCATCGTTCGTTAGCAGCGGAATCTGCGGTATAGTAGTTGCATCACGTGCGTACCTGTCGAATCGTTTCGCAAAGCTCCTCGGTGTATATTGACGAAAAACGAGGCAGCTTGCCTTCTCGAAGATCATGCCACTCTTTTCCAGCTTCGGGCAGGGCTGTTCCGGTAGCGATCTCCAGCAGCGTAATACCTTTGCATTCGAAAGAGTAATGTAAGCACCAGATCTGCTGTTGTAGACAGCCACAGTCATTCAGTGTACCTAGACAGAATATGTCCGCCGATGGAAGTCGAACAGCGCTCGTGAGTAGCTCCTTCGCAATATACTTTGCATCACCCTCGAGGTCCCCTACTCGGCCCGATGAGTCCGCTTGTGTCACCGCGCTGCCCGCCATGCCAAAATCACCAATCTTCAGCTTCCCGTCCTCAGTGATAAATATGTTGTCAGGCTTGATGTCTAGATGAACGATATCATGTTTGTGAAGGACTTGTAGCCCAATTGCAATGTCCCGGAGTATGATCCACAGGTGGTCTTCCGGGAGGGCATCTCGGCTATTTCGCTTCGTCATAAACTCTTGCAATGTGCCGCCTTCGCACATCTCCATTTGCAAGAAGAAGAAGCCTGCATGAAGACAGCTTAGCAAGAATCGCACGAAAGCCACTCATTTTCCATCAGCAAGACGGAGCCCTACCATTCTCTTGCCAAGCTTGATACGGCCGCACGATATGGTCGAAGTAGTGCCGCGCAGTGTTAAGCTTTTGTAAGGCAGCTATTTCTTGTGTTCGGAAGTCTCTGTTGACGAAGGCAAAGTCGCCATCGTAAACCGAGACTGTCATAAGTAGTCAGTTAGCACTATCGCCACTGGCAACCGCCGTACCGTTCTTGCTTGTTGCGTAGCTCCTGCTTCGACTTTTTGATGGCAAAAACTTGTCCGCTTTTTCGATCTCGAACCTGCATTTCGACAAGGCACATTCGAGCAAGTCAATCTTCACACTCCAAACTCATTGAAAAAGGATGATCAACCTTGTACACTTCTGCCGACACGCCAGCCCCAAGCCAACGAATGGTTTGCAAGTCATCGTACGTCGTGACAAAGTGAATCTACACGGAACATCTTGCAGTCCACGTCAACCAATAACTAGCTTTCTACGGCCTTCTATCGTAGGCGACACGTCGACAAAAGACGCACCGGCCAATCGACAATATTAAGCCGTTGCAGCACTATCTTCACTTGTAGACGTAGTCGAGTCGCCGCGGGACTAGTCATCGACAGCGTCGATCCAAGACTGCCACTCAGCAACGTGGCTGGACTTGCACACGGCGGAGAGGCCGAGCGACTGCTGCATCTACTCTCCACACCACCGTCACAGCACCACCGTCAGCCTCACTTCTTCGGCAGCACTGCACACTCTTTGTGCAAAATAAAGCAACAGACTCTCGGACAAACGCGTCTCTTCCGTGCGGCGTTAGTGAACTCTTCTTTCGATCACATCGCTGTGGTGCCGTCTTACGAGTCGACGTCCGCAGACGTCGACTGTACGGCTTTTCTTTGCCCCCACATACATCCAGACGCTCTGCACTTCGAGCACGGTAGCGACCAGTAGCGCTAGGCACTACCTCCGTGCCGCCGTCACGCAAGCTATCATCACTGCTGTGGTCCGTGTTGCGCTTGTGCTGCTCTGGCTCCTCGCCCGCGTCGTTCGCGTCGTCACCGTCCCGATATTCACCGTCTTCAGCTTCACTGCTGCTACTGCTCATAAAGCTCAGCGTCGTGCTAACGCGTGGAGACGAGGCGTCTTCCATCGCGGCATGCAGTGACCGCGACGACCTCACCATGGTCTCTTTTGCTCGTCGAAAGACCCACTGGGGCGGAGGATTTGTTTCAGCCAATCCGAAGCAAGCAAAACCGTCTGCCCCTACGCCATTCGCTACAATACGGAACAAAAGCGCAAAGCGCACGTGAAGCCACTTTGAAGAAAGCGACGACGCGCGTGAGATGCTGGGCAAGGTCGCGCACTGGCTCGCGGCTCGACACGAGGCAAAGCGCAGCGCCAGCGATGCCTCTATTCAGCAGCGCTACAACGCTCTTGTACGTACGACCCGCAAGCACTTCGTGACGTAACGGCATTGGACCGAGCAGTTGTTAACGTCGGTCTTGCCTCGTTCTTGTCTCCTTCTTCTTTTGCTGTTTACGCGCTAGGCACGATTGAAGAAAGCCACGACGGCCGCTGTGTGCAAAGGAACTGAAGGCGAGAAAATCGGTGGAGGCAGTCACGACACGAAGGCGCGGGCGCGGGATAGCTGGACGAGTGTCGCGCTGCCGAGAGAGCAGCGTCAGCCACTAACAGAGCGCGAGCTGTGTGTCGCAGAGCTCTGTACGTGGGATTATGAGAGATGGGAAATAGTGAGGAGAAAAGAGGCTGAACTTTGTTTGTACGTGGTCGGCGCTCAACAATAGGCACGGCATTGGAAGAGTGTCTGGTGATGGGAATCAAGCCACGAGGTGACGGCCAGCAGCCCTCCTGGTGGCACGTGTTGTATGCGAGCACGCTCATTGTTGACGAGCCAACGCTCGTGCAGAGTGTAGTGTCTGCTGCGTTTCTATCGGAGGTCTGATGACTCGTGTTCGTGACGAGCGTTAGTCCTGGTCGATTGTACTGATTTTGCAGTTGTTGTTTGCTCGACAGACTGACGTAGGGAGGGCGCGCTGTTGGCTGAAGATCGCGCTGAACAACCATACGATTGAGTCGAGCATCATGGTAGGTAGGGATGGCTGGCGCGTGGATGCCCTTGCAAGTTGCTGACATGAATCTTGTTTTATTCGACGCCACTGTACGGCTGCCAGATGATTTTCTCCATGCCGTGCGAGCACTTGATCCGCGAGAACTACGACGAAAAGTCGCTCGTTCGTTGTTCGGAAGGTCTAGGTGTGTTTCTCGAGCTTATTATTGCTCTTCGGGAAGTGCATTTTGCAATTGAAGTGAGCGGCGAACCGTTCCAGCTACCAGGGACGCTAGACTTACTGGATCCAGTGCCTGGGCCTGAAGGTGCTAGTGAGGACTTGATTGTCAGTATCACGGATGCAGACATTGCTGCGGCAGTTGGAGCGTTGCCTTCCAAAGCTGGATCGCTTCCCGAGACTGAGCCAGCGTTCACTGACGATAAAGATGGTAGAAGCAAGACCCAAGGAGCCTTGATGGTAATGAAAAAAGAGCAGGGAAAGGGTGTCCAGTCCCTGTCGCACCCACTCGAAGATACCGACCCGTGGCACCACGTGTTTGGCGTCAGCCTGGCGTCGCTTACTGGGAACCCATACCACAGCCGGTATGCTTTGATCGATCCACTGCTCGCGCTTCCGAACGTTGTGGACGACTGTGTGGCGATAGTGAGACGAAAGCCGGATACGCCACGACTGTTGCGCGCGACAGTTTTGAGCATTCACTTGAACCAGCTTCGGGAGATTGTGGAGACCAGAGGGTCTGTACCGCAAGATCTGGACCCGCAGTGTGCATCAGCGTTGCTCTTAGATTTTTTGAAGAACCTGCCAGATCCCTTGCTGACGGACGATAAGTACGATGCGTTTGTAGCAGCAGGGAAATTGCATGATGAAGATGCGAGTGTGCACGACATTACACGATTAGTGAACGGCCTGCCCGTGCACTGTCAGATTGTGCTGAAGCAAGTGGTCGGCTTGATGCACTTCCTGCAACAGCCCGAGCATTCTGTTAACAACGGTGTGGACATTTTCACGGCGTCAACTGTTCTTGCCCCAGTCATCGCTTACAGGAAAGAAACGGAAAGAGACTTGCCGCCCGATCGCCCGCATGGCAGAACACATTCCCAGAATCAAGATCTTCGATATGCCGCAGTAGGGGCTCCGTTGGTTGAGCGAATGATACAGCATTACGCAGCCATTTTCCACTCCATACAGGTACGACTTGTTGACGCGCTCGAGCGATTGGATGCAAAGAAGAAAGCACTGCACATGGTGTGGCATCAACTGAAGCTTCAGCCGCAACTGAATGTCTCGTCAGATGGACAGCAAGTGGACGAGATATCTCGGTTGTTCAGCGAGCATTTGGAGAGGGATGGTGATTGCTCGCTATCGTCTTCATTCATTTCACAAATTGGGCGCATATCAAGGCGCTCAAAGACTGAGACCCAGACATGTGTGGAGAACGAACGTTGTTCAAGCACAGCTCTAGATGTTTCAGAGCAACGTGTACAAACACCAACGCAACCGGCCAGTTCGATTGGTAGTGGATCTTCTTCGCTGACCAGCAAGGCAACTACACGGGTTCTTGTAACCGTCTGGAAACAGTTTGGCTTCAACAGACCAAGTATCTTGGAGAACTTTGAAAATGGTGGCGTGCTGATGCTGCGAGCTCTTCTCTACTGGCTACAGAACAACCCTGATGCATTATCCTTGCTAAAGACGCACGCGCTACCATCTAAGTTGCCGTCTTTCGACGCCGGGCTGGTAGCATCGTCCATCTGCGAGTCGCTGGTGAAGCTGCTAAAACTATCGTACGTCTAGCCTAGTGTTTGTTCTGTGACTGCCAACGACCGCGAGTGCTGACAGTGCAAACCCTTTGTGCTTGCAGCTTAACCTCGAAGCAGTCGGAGATTGATATCGTAGCAATGTCGTTGGAGCCTTTTTGGGAGCTCTTTGATGAAGACATGTACTTCTACAAATTATTCGCGTTCATGTTTCAGGTGTACATCCAACTGTGGAGTCAGCTTGATCCGAAGGCGGCATCGTTTACCCGAGTAATGACAGAAACCGAGAATGTGATGCGTAAACTGCTGAAGAAGACTTCAAGCACCGTCAATGATCTTCGAGTGGAATGGGAAGCGTTTAGGACGCGTCGGCCAGAAGAGGCTGATGAAGAGGACCTAAACGAGAAGCGAGGAGAGCAAGGCGGAGCGCTCTTGGTCGCTACCCCATCGGATCCACTTCTGATGTCGTCTCCGTTTCGCACTTCCAAGAAGAGACCTTCCTTCGATTTCGACCCGGACGACTACAAACTCAAGCTGTTGGATTCGTCGAGCATTTTGACCTTGGAACATATTGCACATATTGACCATGCATTGCCCGTTACGAGTCAATTATGCCGATGGTTTCGGATCTACAGTCTGGAATCGAATGGATCGTCACTGGAGACGCTTCTTTACCTCGCAAAGAAACAAAGCCCGACGTTGTTGGTCGTCAAAGACGCCGAGAAGAACGTGTTTGGTGGGTTCGCGTCGGACGAGTGGCACCACGCATTCCACTATTATGGCACAGGCGAGTCCTTCCTATTTTCCTTTGCAAACTCGAGCGCTGCAGGCGGGTTTGTAAAGTATCAATGGAGCCGCAAAAACAACTACTTCATGCTATGCTCCGACACGTCCTTAGTCATGGGTGGCGGAGGCAACTTTGGTTTGTTCCTGGTGAGTGGAATTGCTCGTGAGTACATGTGTGATTGAGGCACGTTGCGGACTAACATTGTGTGATTCGACTTGCCAGGATAGCGATTTGTCTGCTGGGACTACAGGAGCGTGCGAAACGTTTGATTCACCTCCATTGACTACCTCGCAGCAGTTTTGCTGTATCCAATTGGAGCTATGGGGGTTTGCATTCGGAGACAAGCCGGTTGGATTTGGTGGCCGACGAAAAAAAAGTGTGTTGGACTAGTAGCAGCAACAGGCAATCGGGGTTATTTAAGCTGTGCGAGCCAAAGCACGACGACGACGACGACGACGAATCTTATTTACTCAAGAAGGTGGCAGATCCATAGCCCGCAGTATTTATATCGATAATGGCGATACTTCCCACTCATCAGCAGCTCGTCCTACCGAGCAACTACAGTGAAAGCTGGCCGCTCGGTTCCACAAAGTCTCGATACATGTGTTCGATTGGTACAACAGAAGAAGCGCACATGATCTCGATGCATTACGCCAACTGAGCTCATTGCATACCGGGGTCACCCACCATTCGCCTGCAGCAGCAGTTGGCTATCGAGCTCCGCTTCGTATCTCCGAAACGGAGCTTCAACGGCTTCGCGCTGCACAGTACACCACATCAGCAGGGCCACAAGCATGCTGTCAGTGGAAAATACTACAGACGCGGTTGCATCGTGTCGGTATGTTGCTAAAACCGACCCCCACCTCTTCCGGCGTGGGCGTCGCACTCGCTTGTAACTGCGGCTGCAATTGGTCCAGCTCTTGCTTGAACACTTCACCAAACCGTTGCAAAATCCGCTGCAAAAACGCTTTGAGCGCTGTGCTTGCCGCCTCACAAGTCCGTTCGTGGAACAGTACGGCTTGAATCGTCTCGTTCTGGAGCGAAAGCATGACGAGACCGCCGGACGAGGTCTGCACATGTCCAGTCAGCATATCGGTCATAGGTAGGGACTGTGCAAAAAACTGTTATCCGGTATTTACAGGCACAAAACTGCTGCTCGGTCGGTCTTTGCTGCTATCCGCTTGGCTCGGGTCAAAGTGCACTTGAACGACCTCTAGTATGCAGGCAGCATACAGTTAGAGAGCGTCGACGCGCCTGCTGTATCCACCAATCACGGCACAGCACCGCACCTCCACCGTCGATCTCGCGCGCGAACTGCGTAAAGGACATGACGAGCGCATCGACGCCTTCTGCATGCGCTTGCGGTTTCCACTTCCACTGATGAGTGAAGAGGCACACGCCCGACTGCTGATGCAGGACCTTGACCATATGCAGTTCGCCCAGCAGTGCGTTCATCGCGCCCTTTTGTGCAAAAGTGCCCCTTGACTGCAACGTCTTTTGTAACCTCGAGTTTCTATCCACGTCCCTGATCCGGATCCGACGCGCCCGCCGCAGCCATTTGTATTTCTATCCGCATCCCATCTGATTCGGATTCGCCAACGCCAACAACAACCAGCATAGCACACCATGAGCGGCATGAAGGCTACGTATAAATTCCACGGCGAGGTGGTCCACGCGTTCGAGAGCTACCCGAACGCCACGGAAGCATCGAATGGCTACGCCGTGCCAACAGGGGAAGAAGCGCTCAACCATTCGTACTCGGGTACGATGGACGGTGGCATTGCCATGCCGGCACTCAAGTCGACGGGGCCGTATGCTGCGCTAGTCACCTCGATAAAGGTACCCGATTGTGCGTGTTTCGATGTCGACCGTCTCGTTAAACTGTATTCTTACACTGTGTTCTGCTGCTGTATCCGTGTGCTGAAAAAACGGCATTTCACAGCGCGCTAAGGAGGACAGCGAGTGCTTTTTCAAGGATCGTGTCGAAGGTCCCGTGCCTGCTAAGCTCTACAATCAATGAGCGGAGCTGCTCGCTCGATCCACTCGGAGCGTTTCGTACGTAGCACGGTCTCTTTTCGTTCGGCTCGATTTCAACAGACAAAAACAGTTTAATTGATTGACAATTAAATCGCCTGCATGCCTCAAGAGTCGGTCAAACGACGATGGCGACGCGACTTGGAGACATGCACACGACCAGCGTAAGTTCGTTGCAACTGGACATCAGCACAGCTGTCTGTCTCTCACTGCTAGAGCTCGTCTTCACTTTCGTTGCTCTCTTTCCACACCGGTAGAGGCATGTGCTCTAGCTGGCGATACGAACGGTCCAAGGCTTTATGCCGCTTCTTGTAACGGCGCTTGGCGAGAGGTGCCGACGCGCGGAAAATCTGCTTGAGACTTGGCAGTTGTGGCGCTGCGTGGGTGCGCAGGTGGCGCCCTGCGGAATCCGACGAGCAGCGTGTCGTACCACCAGCAGCGAGAAACTTTGTTTTAGACGTCTCGGAAGCTTTTTGAGGATGCTTCGGATTCGTGCACTCGGAGCAAAACCATGGTATTCCACGCGGAGGTACGATGGCAAGATTTGTGCAGTTGAGGTGGAATGCGGCAGGACAGCCGTCACAGCATATCAGCTCGCCTGCGAGACCACAGCGGAAACAAGCGTCTTCGTTCAAGTCGTTCTACACGTGCATGGGAAACACACACCGTTCGTCAGTGAGTCGTGTCGTACATCGTACAAAGACACCGCCATTCATTCGCAAAATTGTACCTGGTCAGTGTTGACGAAGATCTGCGTGTCTTTTACACGATCAATGAGACGATGGATGCGGTCGGGGTCGATAGTACTGGATGACGGAATACGCTTGTTCCATCTGGAGGTGCCTTTCGCAAAAGCTGCGAGCTCCCGCATTCCACGTGCTCGTGCCTGGGGAAGGCTTAGGCGTCGGCAGATGAGCTTCGTATTCAGCGGGACGCGATTTGTATCCGAGAGAAGTGGCGCCACCTTTTTGGGACGACCGCGTTTCTTCGGTGGACGCCCTCGGCCACGCTTTTTTACCAGCAAAGGTATTGCGAGCTCTGCACTGCGGTCTCTCGTGAGATCTGCGGTCCAGTCACGCTTACCTCCGCAAATGTAGCTGTGAAGTGCCCTCATTTCAGGCAGATGCTGCCCCGCTAGAACTCTATCGTACCAGCTTAGTGTCGGTGGCTTTTCTTCAATCACATTGCTTCGAATCATATGTGGCGGCGTCAGCGTTACATCTTCTTCTGTCGTCGTCGAGCAGATTGAAGCTGGGCTACTTGACGACAGACTTTGTCGGCCTTCACTGCCGTCCACTATGTCGTCGCTGTCTACCTTCTCAGGCCGGCGTGTCTGGTGACAGAGGAACAGTCGACGATTTTTGAACCCGTAACTTTCCAGCCAGCTATCGTCCAGCTGAGAGCTTTTTAGCAGCGCTAGCGACGACAAATGCACTGGCCGCTTCAGCTCAGGCAGCTCCTCGTATCGTTGCATCTGCTTCTTAGCCTTCGCGGTGCCTCCAGCACGATAACTGAACATGGGAAGTTTAGACCGCTTCAGACCAATCATGCCTGTGCAAGCGGTCGATCCACATTTACACTCGGCAGCTTCTCCAAAGTGTGAAAAGTTGTAGTTGATAGTGATCTCTTCGTCGACGGCGATGTTGCGACGCGCGAAAATTCCGATACGTTGCATGCCGTCTACATTCCTATTTTCAACAGGCATACCTCAGTTGTCAGCACTAGCCATTGTGCAACTCGACTGACACCTCGTGCTGTTGTATGTAGAACGTACCACTTTTGTGTCACGCTATTTGGGTCGCAGCTATGATTGATGAAACGCGACTCATTGCTTCGGTGCTTTGCGTCGATCACAGTGTTCTTTTCCAGCTCCATCATGTAGAAATTGACCTCAACACGCAATGCAATACTCTTAGTACACGTCAGAAGCCACAGCCTGCCACCTTCCCACAGCACTCACCTCGCCATTTTCCCTGTACTTGATCATCCTCCGTCCACATTCCTCCTCATCAATGACTTCACCGACGTACTCGATAATGAACTCGCCAGAGCGAATCGCCTCATTGGCAACGAGGCCAAATCCAGGACCTGGGATGTACTCGATTCGCACCGACTTGATATGTCTCCTCTTGATCGCCCGATTGCTGCACATGCTCGGGTCAGGCGCCGAGCACGTTTCATCCGAGCAGCTGATAAATAGCATTCGGTTGTAACACCCTTCGCCACAGTACATTGCCGTGTCCATCTCGTGCCGCTTCTCGAGGTCCGCATGACGCATCAGTTGACCGCCCGCCCCCACTTTGTTGCTACTGACTTGTTTCTGTGCCCGAGCACTTGCCATCACCGTCGTGCGCTTGGTCATGGACTTGTCCGTCTCTTTGTAACACGTGCACTTGTGCACGAAGAAGTCTGCGACCGGCATCTTGGTCGACACGTAGACACAGCGACTGATCTTGCCGAACGGCGGTGGCCGACGGACCCATTGCCGCTCCTCGAGGCTCTTGATCTCAAGTGCTTTGAACGGCAATTGGAACCCGACGCTGTGGTCGTTCGCCAGCCACCAGTTGATCGCGCCCCGTCGCTTCGACAGCAGCAGCGGCAGCGGCACTGGGGGCGGCAGACGCTGCACATCGCTCTCCAAGAGGTGCAAAAAGATTGTGGTCGCTGGGTCGAGCGCCGCCGTCACGGGCTCACCCGTAGGCGCCAACGGGCACAGGTCCGTGAGCGTTTTCGTCTTCTTCTCGGGCGGTGCACCGGGTTCGCGCTTGACGATCGTATGGGTCGGCTCGTAGATGGGCGTCACCGAGCGCTTGCGCTTCTTGGCGACCAAACCGCTGTGCCGTTCAGCCAGCTGTCGAGACATTGGCCATCCACTTTTGTCCACTCGTCACTCGGTAGGCGGTATCGATGTGTCTGTGTCTGTGTGTCTGTGTGTCTACCTATCTGTCTATCGGTCTATCTCGATCTCCTCGCAGTGTTGAGTGGCGACTGCCTCCGATCTGTTTGGCTGTCGACTTTTTAAAAAATCGCCCGCGGAATCAGTTTGATTTGCGTCTTGTATGAAAAAGAGGCAGCAGATTATATATACTACATGTGGGGGGGGAGGGGGTGTTGAATTCGAACAGGCGGTCGACAGCATCTCAGTATGCTTGACGAGTAAGGCCTCGTCGTATCAAGTTCGACAAGAAAAGGTATGCAACCAACTACCTGTCTGTTTGTATGTAGGTGTACCTATCTGCCTACCTGCCTGTTGGCCTATTAGCTATCTATCTATCCATCCATCTATCTATCTATCTGCGTGTTTGTCTGCCTGCCATTGGTTGTTTGACAGAGAGGACGACCGCTCGAGCACCAGTGTCAGTGCGTCAAGTAGTGCGAACAAAACACACGGAGCATCTTCTTGACGCGTTCAGAGCTGCGCTTCTCGAGTAGTGACCTCGTCAAAGACCGCAGCAAGTGTCTTCACTGCGTCCAAATCCGAATAGTCCACTTGCGCCTTCTTGAGTACGCTGCGGATGTACAGACGGCACGAGCAAAGCGCCTTTTTGGTCCCCTCGGTCAGATAATCCTGCGCCAGTCGACAAGCTGCTGCACAGAGCTCGTTCACCCTCTGCTCATCCCGCTCCCAACCAGCGAGTTGCAAAGCGCGGCATTGCTTCAACCGGCAGTCGCGGGCCTTGTCCGCCCGGTTCTCGACGCCGTCGTTAAAGTGTGCATACACTTGCCACACCTTAGCATCGTTCGTCACAATGGACGTCACGCGTCCAAACAGCATCGCCAACTGCTTCTTGTAGTGGGAATCAGATCGCGGGGGAGTCTTGTCCGTGGCTACTGCCACCTCATCAAGTTCCGTCAAGTCGTCGTCATCGTCATTGTCTTTCGTAGCAGCTCGTTCCACTGCACCCACTTCGCTTTCTACCTCCTGCTCCATCTGCTTAAGAGAGTCTGGATACACGATAGCTTCCACCAACCACGCCAGCATCTCGCTGTCCACTGCACGCTTGTGCTTACTGCGCATGTCCAAGAGCTGGTGCATGGCGTACATCGCTTCACCGTAGCGCTTTGTCTTCATAGCACAGAGCGCAAAGTTCTCCCACATCTGCCACATGTGACGCTTTTGCTTCAGTGCTTCTTCCAGCACGGCGAAAGCTTCCCCGTAACGATGGTTGTGCATGTGAATGGAGCCCAAGTTGCCCCATGCTTCACCATTGTCCGGCTCCAGCTGTACCACGCGTGTAAAGGCGCGCATAGCGAGTGCCCAGCGATGCACACGCATTGCGGTCGCACCGAGAGTGAACCAAGCACCCGTGTGCATGGGACCGACATGCACCGCGTCCTCGTAATGGGAGATGGCTGCTTCATGGTCGCCCTTCCCAAAGTAATAGCGTCCGAGCGAACGCTTGGCGCGAGCAAACCGCTGCTTCGACAATGTCCAAGACGTCTCGTAGTGGGAAGGATCCTGCGTGAGGTCGCCGAGCGTGACCCACATGAACGGCGTGGGAGCGACCAGCAAGCGTTCGCGCACTAGCTTCTCAGCGCGCATTGGCTTGTCCAAGATCTGGTAGCACTTGACGACGTCATCCCACATCTCCAGCTCTTCGCAGATTTCTACAGCGCTGCCTAGAACGCCAAGCTTGAAGTATCGCTCGGCCAGGTCGCGCTTGAGAGCATACCGCGGAGGGAAAGCCAGCGAATACACAAACTGCATACGCTCACGAGCCGGCGCCGAATCTGCGATAGACTGCAGTGTGTTTTGCGTGATCGTGAGTCGGGTGGTGTGCTGGTCTACCAAAGCTTGCATCTGCAACACAGCGCGTTCACGTCGTTTCGAGCTCTCGCACTCGAGCCACGCACGCTCCAGCAATGCCGTAGAGTACACCATCCAGTTGTTGGGGTTCTCGAGTACACGTGTTATGTACGGCATCATTTCTTCCCGGGTGAGGCCGTCATTCGCGTTGCTGTTCTTCACGTCCAGGCACAATCCCAGCAGCACAATCTGGTCTACAACCTGCAAATTGCCCTGCTTCGTGAGCTTCCGGTCTTCGAAATTGATGCTTTCCAGAAGGTAGTTATCCTGGTCCACTTGGTCCAAGTTTACGTTGCGGTAGGAGGCCTCGCCATCTTGCACGAGTCTCTGAATGTGCTCCTCGTCAGCAGTAAGACCATCGGAGGAAGGAGAAGCAGAGGTTGTTGCACTGTCCTGGTCGTCGCAATCGATCTCCACCTGTTTTTTGCCACCAAAGTCCACGTGGGTCGACCCGGCCACTGCTGCCGTGTGGACGGAAGTTTGTGCGTCCACGTCCGTGGGCTCTTTCTTCGATGCCGCAAGCAATACCATCTGAGCCACACTTTTCTGCTGATACTTGGTGCGCTTTCCCATAGACCCACTCAGCTGTACGCTCACACCAGAGACCTCCTTCGCGCGTGCAAACGTCGCCTTGCCATGCTTATTCTTGTCAAAGTGGTGTTGCGCCAAGCCCCACTCGACGTACGCACGAGCGAGCAAGTATTGCGTGTCCTTCTCAACAGCAAACAGCTCGCTTGTCGCCAACGTCTGAATGTAGCCACGACGCGCTTCGAACCACAGCGTGTTCGAAGGCTGCTTCGAGAGCAGCAGCCGTTCGTGCGCGACAGCAGCACGTGCATTCCACCACGCTGCCGACTTGATCCGTCCCAGGAGCTCCCCAAGCACACGGACAGCTGCTCCACCACTGACCTGTCGCTTCACAGGACCTTCCACCACGCTGTCTGGTACTTCATTGTCATTCTGTCCCCGCACGATCTCAAGCGCAGCCACTGACCAGTCATTGTATGCGTAATTCCCTACAAAGTCCAGCAAACAGCGACCAACGAGCAAGAACTGCGGGTACGCACAGATCGAAAACGGACTCTCGCCGTCCACTTGCAGTGCTACAAGTGCATCGCTGTGCGACTTCTTGTCGCTGCTGTCGGTCGAGCACGTCACGAGACGCGTGGCCAGGCCGAGCACGTCATCGAGCTTCGCGGTCTCAACTGCTGGTCCCGTGTAGTTCGCTTGCACGTACATGTTGAGGAACGCCACGCCGACGTACAGCACTTGGTATGCGGCCACGAGACGGCTCTCGGCACTGCTACACTCGTCCAGCAAATAGCTCTGCAGCGTGTCGGCGACGCCCGCGCAGACGTGCGCGTCCTGGTCGCCCTGGTCCCGTCTCGCCATGCGCAAGTGCGCGACGCTCTGGAGCAGCTGCTGCGCCCGCGCGAGTCGAATCACGTCCACGTAATTGCCGCTGCAGATCCCGTCGGCCATGTCCAGCAGCACTGCTGTCGACTCGTCCGCGTCGCGGTGACGCGCTTCGCGGGTCCGGGCGACGCTCGCGGTGTCGCCTTCCAGCACGGCGCGCTCGATCGCAAGCAGCTCCGTCTCCAGCAGTCCGAGCGCCGCGTCCTGCGAGCTATCGAGGGGGGAGAGACGCACGGCGGCGCATGGCTCTTGCATCCGATCGTCCGGTAGTGGCGGGGGGCGACTGGCGGTGGGAAGTTGTCGATCGACTCGTGGGGGTTGATGCAGCAACATTAGGGGACGTCGGGGCAACGGGGGGGGGTAAAGTGCGGGTTGCAAGTTGCGGGCGTTGTCAGAAGTAGGTACGATTGGCGATCCCGGTAGGTACGGACACTGGATAATATCGAGACACTTTCTTCGCTCTGTGCTTCAGACTGCTTTTTTTTTCGACTGGCACGAGCGTGGGGATCGGGCTGTCCATACTCGCTTAAATCAGTGCGTGATTGACTTACGTACGGTACACGACGGACGGACGGACGGACGAACGAACTCTCCCGCTGTCTCGGCAACAATAAACACGAAGCGCACTTAGCTGCCATGGCCGACAGCGCAGAGGACCAGTTGACGGCGCTCACACCAGCGCAGAGGAAACTGTTTGAGCTGCGCATGAAGATGAATGCAGGACGGAAGGCGAACAAACAGGTGCGGGCGTGTGACGGCGCGAGGGAGTAGCGACCGGTAGAGCTGATGCAGACGCGCGCACTGTTGTTGTTAATGTCACTGCTTTTGGTGTGACTGCTTTTGTTGTTATTGCCGGTGCTGTTTGCAGGAAGTGGCAGCTGAACACGAACGCAATCAGAACAACGACACGAAAGTCAAGAAGGAGGAGCAGTACAGGCATAGAAAGGTGGACCTACGACGGTGCACGGCCAAAAAGACGGGGCGTGGGGTGGGCGGGGTGGGGTGGCTAATGGACTCGTGTGCTTGTGTGTGTGTGTGGCACAGGAGAGGAAGTTTGTAGCTGCCAGTGGCGCAGCTCATCTCAACGAAACGGGTCGGTGCGCCATCGTGTAGTTGCGTGTGAGCAAACGAGGGAGTATGGCCACGTGTGCTGACTCGATGTTGTCCCGTGTGCTGCTGCTGCTGCTGGTCGTGGTCCATCTTTGTTGGAACGTGCACTGGTCACAGCTGAAGTGGCCGCGATCAAGAGGAAGAAGGCGAGCAAGAAGGAGAAGCGACAAGCTGCGTTCGGATGGGACGTGTTTAATCAAGACTCGTTGTACAAGGGCTACAAGAAGCGACTCGTGCATTTGCCCACGTCTGAAGCAGGTGCTGCGCCTGTTGCGACATCAACCGACAACGCGCTCGGCGATGACCTGACGTATGGCAAAGACGACAAAGTGGACGAGGTGCGTGCATAGCTTGGCATGTTTGGACTGAGCGTGCGTTGCCACTAATGGTGTGTGTGTATTGTAGGCACATCTGGACCGCATGGCACAGGAGCTCGAAGGACGTGTCAAGGCGCGTAAGCAGTTTAGTCGTCGGCGCCAGCACCACGAGGGCGAAGACGTTGACTACATCAACCACTCGAACCGCATCTTTAACCGGAAGGCGTCCAAAGCGTTCGACAAGTACACGGTGGAGATCCGGCAGAACCTCGAGCGTGGAACTGCGTTGTAGGAGCACTTGCAGCAATAATCCAGATCATGCACACGACCGTCACATGTATACCGTTACGGCTTATGCACCCATGATAGAAGTGCACCCATAATGGTACTGCACCCATCCTGTTTGCGCATCCATGATGGTAATGTACCCATCATTTTGTGCATCCATGATGGTAGTGCATCCATTATGTTTGTGCACCCATGATGGCATAACACCCATGATGGCAAAACACTCATGACGATAAAACACCCATGACGGTAAAACACCCATGATGGTAAAACACCCATGATGGTATAACACCCATGATGGTAAAACACCCATGATGGTATAACACCCATGACGCTTTTCGTGACTCAGATAGACCCCAGGTGATCCGCGGACCGTTCCATGTCTACTTGAGCATGTCACAGCCAGCCAATCCGTGGGCGTTATGGTGGGCCACGATTGTCGGTTCATTCTGATATGTGGGCCACCCTTCCCAACATGACAAGTCACCAATATACCGGCTCGGTGGGCCACTCCTACCGATCGAATAAGCTTCGAGATCTGGCATCCATCCAAACAGGACCTGTTGCGGCTACCTACCTACCGACCCATACCGATACCGCGGCCCTCCACCGCCATTGACAAAGTGGGCCACCTGCTGATCTCGTGGGCCACCTACTGATCTCGTGGGCCACCACCGTCGAGCGTCCCATCACCACCAGGAGGTCCGATTTCCTCCTCCTCCTCGTTCTCTCTCTCGTTCGCTCTCTCTCATTCTCGTAGTTCCCGCGTCCCCCATAGCGCTTCCTCTTTCCCCCTCTCCTCCTCTTCTTCTCGTCCATCAGTCAGTATGGCCCCGCAGACCACGTCGGCCTCCGCCCCCACCGAAGGCACGTTCCTCGTCAAGGCCGGACTCGCCAAGATGCTCAAGGGCGGCGTGATCATGGACGTGACGAACGTTGAGCAGGCCCGCATCGCCGAAGAGGCTGGCGCCGTGGCGGTCATGGCGCTCGAGCGCATCCCCGCGGACATCCGCGTGGACGGCGGCGTCGCGCGCATGAGCGACCCGGACATGATTGACGCCATCAAGAAGGCCGTGACGATCCCCGTGATGGCGAAGGCCCGCATTGGGCACTTTGTCGAGGCGCAGATCCTCGAGTCGATTGAGATCGACTACATTGACGAGAGCGAAGTGCTGACGATGGCGGACGAGGAGAACCACATCAACAAGCACAAGTTCAAGGTGCCGTTCGTGTGCGGCTGCCGGAACTTGGGCGAAGCGCTGCGCCGCATTGCCGAAGGCGCTGCGATGCTGCGGACCAAGGGAGAAGCGGGCACGGGCAACATTGTCGAGGCCGTGCGCCACGCGCGGGCCGTGCAGCGGGAGATCCGCCGGCTCCAGTCCATGGACGAGGACGAGCTGTTTGTCGCGGCGAAGGAGATGCACGCGCCGTACGAGCTCGTGAAGGAGGTAGCGACACTGGGTCGACTCCCGGTCGTGAACTTTGCGGCCGGTGGGGTCGCCACGCCGGCCGATGCTGCGCTGATGATGCAGCTCGGCATGGACGGCGTGTTCGTGGGCTCGGGCATTTTCAAGAGCGGGGACCCGGCCAAGCGCGCCCGAGCAATGGTGCAGGCCGTGACGCACTTCCGGGACCCGAAGATCCTCAAGGAGATCTCGACCAACCTCGGCGAGGCAATGGTGGGCGTGCAGGACCTGAAGGCGGCGTCGGTCAACTTTCGCGACCGCGAGGGGGAACTCCGTGGCGCGTGGTAGAGCGGAGAACACGCTGTTGAACACAGAGATGACGCGGCTTCTTGCCGCAGCTGCCGGTGGTGGTGGCGCATCTTGCGGGTGCGTGCGAGGTCAAGTAGAGAACATTGCAGACGCGCGCGACTCGTGTCTCCCGTCAATATATAGGTATTGCTCAAGTTGTCGTTTGCTACATCACTTGTCACATGTACCTTATCTACCACAATCTGCCCCTGTGTTAGCCGACGTCACACGTTGCTCCTCTAATTACCATCACATGTAAATCTTCTGATCACTGTCCCACTCAACTCGCACTCGCTATCCCGTGAAACTCTTCTGGTTGTTATCTCGTGACACTCCTCTGGCTGTTGTCCCGTGAATCTCTTCTGGTTGTTATCTCGTGACACTCCTCTGGCTGTTGTCCCGTGAATCTCTTCTGGTTGATATCTCGTGACACTCCTCTGGCTGTTGTCCCGTGAATCTCCTCCAACTGCTGTCACACGGACCATTTTCTTGCTGTCACACGTTCCTCCTCGTTACACGCAGCAGCAAGGCACGCTTGCAAGCTGATTCCTGCTGCTACCCACTAGCACACAGTCACCTCGAAAGGCTTGCCAGCATCTGCGATCGTGCGCACGATGGACTCGTACGTCATCAGCACGGCGCCGACGCAGATCGTCACGCCAATGCAGAGCACGATCACGGACTGACGGCCAGTCCTGCGCACGAAGCCCAGAATGACGACCTGCGAGAAGGCCGTGACGACGAGAGCGACGGCGAACATCAGCAGCGCCCAGTCCCACGCAATCATCCCGAACACGGCAAACTGTGCTGTGGCAGCAGCGGAAGAGTAGAGCACCATGAGCGCAGTGGTGGCCGAGGCGACTTCAGGCACGATGCCCATCTCGATCATGAGGGGACCCGTGACGATACCGCCGCCGACTCCGAACAAACCAGCAACCACACCAGCACCTGCACACGCGAGCGGGAAGCAGATGACGTTCTTCGCTGTCCAGTGGATATCGCCTGCGGCAAACACGTAGTGGACGGCGACCTTGTGCCCGTGCTGCCGGAAGAGGTAGATGCCCGTGCAGACACCAAAGGCGGCGATCCAAGGGATCTCCACGAACAGCATCACCCAGTAGGCCACGCTGTTGCACGTCAAGGGCGCGCCCGCGAGCCCTGCGCCGAGGATTCCAAGGTAACACACCATGAGCACGCCATGTTTTGGCAGCGAGAGGTGGCGCTCTTGTGCCAAGATCCGTGCGAGTTTTTCATTGTCTTCGCAGACTAGAGACCCACGACAGACCGACGACCCTCGCTCGACGCCGTCCGTCGGCTTATCAGCGTTGACGGTCGGTCGCGGTGAGCTCACAGGGACGTAGCTATCAGTCTGTCGTTGCTCCTCCATTGCTTCCGTGATGAGCACCGACTCGCGCGACGCGCCCTTTTTCATCGTCTCGACACGATGCATCTTGAGTCCCTTCAACACTGTGCGCGCTCCCCCCAACGTGAGCACGATGACAAAGAGGATTGAGATCACGTAGCTGGGCAGGAGCTTGGCCAGCACCGCGCCGATGACGGCCCCGCCCATCACGAGCGGAATCATAGCCAGCGCCAAGTCCGAGTCAATGAGCGGACGGTCGACCACGGGATGGCGCTTGCGAAAGTTGAACCAGGCGTTGGCGATCGCGCCGCCCACGATCGCGAAGTTCGACACGGGCGTCGCCCGTTTGATGTCAAAGCTCATGATGAGGACCATTCCCGGCACTAGGATTGTTCCACCGCCGACGCCACCGGCTGACGAGATGGCAAGTCCCGCGCCAACAAAGACGAGCGCCAGTGCATCGTAGGCGTCAAAGGTCGATATGCTGCGCAACTCTGGGACCCCATCACTGGAGCTGCTACTGCTGCCGCTGTTTCCATTTTCACTTGTCACTGCGACGATCGATACGGCGAGCACAGAGGTCAGCAGAACGGCTAGAGCCGCGGTCGACGGGTTTCGGTGCTCCATCGACACTACTGTCTTGCGGTGGGAAAAAAGAGGGAATGAGGGCATCGGAGCTGATCGTTCCGAGCTTTGTGCGCTTGATCGTGGCCACTCGGCCTGTGCCGTACAAATCGCACGACTTTTCCGTCAGAACGAGAGACAGTGGCAACGTGTCAACGCACGAATTTTTCCGCCGATGGAGGTGGGATCCCTCGGCATGGGTGGGTTGTTCTCGTCGTCTTTTTCGAATTGTTTACTTGTTTCGATGGCTGGTCGTCGCGTCTATCTGTCGATCTGCCTGTGGTTTGTGTGTCGTCGTGGAAAAAAAAGTTGACGAGTCGATCGTTTGCAGCGCTTGGAGCTAACTGCGTTGTAGTGGTGTAGTAACGAGAGCAATGCCACTCTCTTGCCAAATTGCTGCGTCGATTGCGGCAAATACTGGCGGAAAACGAATCCCCAGCACGGTCGATCGTCGACTGGATGGACTGGTACGCCGTCAGCAGACGTCCAACAACTTCCCAATTTGGGTTGGGTTCTAGCAACAACGGACAAAGACGGAGACCTCGTAAGAGCCAGCCATCGGGTCCCTCACCTTGGACGGGAAGTCCCCCATAGTAGGGCCAAGGTTAAAAGGGGGGACCCCTTTTCTCCGCTGCGGATGCTACGGGAGGCAACGCAGCGTGCGACCCGAAAGGGAAAAATCCACCGGTATCCCGCGGTAGTACGGGGAATGTCTACAGGGACCGACGTCTTCGAGCCTACGTTAGTACCAGCTACCTCTTCGCAAGTACCTCCCCTCGCGCCGACTCGTTCGCTACGCGCGAAGTCCGCTCCCGCAAAGTGCAGTCTCCTAAGAACGTGATGACCTGTTGAAATTCAGTGCCAGTCGTTTTATTTTGTAGAGTAAGCACCAGGCCACGATACTCTTCGTCTCGTGATGCGCCTGGGCACGCCTGCACTAGATTGTGCAATGGGATCGACCCGAAGAACAGAGCAGGTCGATCACTACGGAAGCGGCCAGGGATTACGTCAAGATGGCACGCGAGGACTCCCGAAGTGGAACAGACCTCCTAGCCACGCGTCCTCTATCCCCTGAAGCAGATGCAAGCGCGACGCGACGCGCAGCCCAGCCATCCAGCCAAGAGTGCGCACAAAGTTCGGATCCCGGACTTGGTCAACAGTAATCGTCACGTGGCCTTTCGAGAGTGTCCCCCGTGACATCTGGAGCATCGAGCCAGCAGAATGAGGAACGTGGTAGGAGAAAGTTCGTGTCATGGTAGATGGAGGAGTTTCTTGATCCTCTAGTTGCATTTATGTTGGGCAAGATGTCTGAAAAATCCTGAGCCAGGATATGAGCGCCGGAGGAGGCAACGTATCGTGGCTGATTTCCGCTAAGGCGGGTGTCCGTGTGGATCGTGAAGGACTGACTCAATACACGCGTGAAGACGGGCTGCGCGTACTACCGTAGCCGCTGAGCGATGTTCGCGAAGTGCGATTGCTTTTAACTGGCGAAGACCGAAAACCCAAAATTTGGCTGAGCTTGACGTAGGGGTTGGATAGTTCGCCCCGGCACACCGCCGCATTGCGCTCTGCCCATAGGTGACTTTGGCAAAGGGAACTTAACACGAACCAGGTGCGTTGAAATTTGGTTACTGCGAGCTTGTCAACCCCCTGAAATCGTTTCTATAGCCGATGAAGTAGGCGGTCTGGAGCCGGAGGAGCTTGGCGATTTGCACAGTGGCGCAAGTGGGTTGTAACCACCTGAGCCTTCGTAGTCTGACCTGTCCAGTGGCGTATCAATTGTTGCCAGCAATCTTGAGCAACTAGACAGTCCCAAATGATGTGTGTTAATGTCTCTTTGCACCCCGAACATTGCGATAACTTCTTGTAACGATTATCCACGGCCCGGGCAGCGTAGTGCAAAGTGAGCTGCTCGGTTACGACACGATAGCACGTCCACACTTGGTTGATACTCAGAAAGTCCGTTGGCGTGATTCCACACATGAGATGGCCGTTGGTGCTCCGCAGCAAGTTGCCAACAGTCCCGTGCGGGCCGTGAATCAAAGCGATCGAGCCAAGCCTGTAAGGCTGATCGCAGCAGCCGATTATGCAGCGTGAATGCCTGACTCATAAGCGCCTTATGTATGGGCATTTTCGACGGTCTCGGGCACACTCCAAGCAAACCGACGAAGCAGCGATGAGCTAGTAAGACCCACCCACTGCGTCGTCTGACTTTGCAGCGATTTGCCTCGCCCTCGGTAGAGCAATTGGTTCCGGCAGATCGCCGTGCAGATACCAATGTGAACCATTTACGCCTTGGTGAAGCCGAACCTCGGATGCCTCATGTGTATTGCTGTCTGGTCCTGTTCCAACCATTGAATTCGTGCCGACGCGCGTCCACTCATACCTGTACCGAAGTGGCGGTGGATGGCGTAAGACACTCTTTGGTTCCAGCAAAGCCGCTCCAATGGGAATACAAGGTGACGCGAGCAGGAGCGTGGTAGCCCGTCAACGTAACTTCGGGTGCAGTTGTCTCGACGATCTGACCTCTCTCTCTGATCAGACCTCCGACAAGCACTGCAGTAGCTATGCAGAGCACGATGATCGACTGGTGGCCCGACTTTCCACGTAGCCCAAGATCGCGATTTGCAAAGCAGCTGTCACTACGAACGTCATGCGCCCAGTAGTAGCGCTCAGTCCCACGTGATCGTCTCGAACACGGCGAACTTGGCGGTCGCGGCGGCCGATGCGTAGAAAATCATTAAGGCCGTTGTCGACGAGGCGACTCCAAGCACGACACCGAGTTCGATCACGATTGATCCAGCGACAATGCCGCCGCCGACTCCAAACACACTCGCGACAATGCCAGCAACCGCGCAGCCCGGCGGGAAGTACACGACCGTCTTCGCTGTCCAGATAACGTCTCCTTCCTTGTACTCGTACTGGACGGCCAACTCGCACCAGCAGACCTTGTGCAAGTACCGCGACGTAAGCACGACGAAGCGAGCATCCCATGAAGTCTCAATCGCCAAGAGCACCCAGTTGGCTACACCTCCGCAGGCTACGGACGCCCCGCCAATGCTAGCAGCGACAATGCCGAGGCAGCAGACCAGAACGGTGAGACGGGGGGAACCCCAGGCAAAGCGCCTCTCTTTCTCCAGGATCGCATCAAGTGCTGCAGCTCGCGGTACTTCAATGCCCGTGGACGCTGTACGGCTCATGTGTTTTGTTGTGCCTACACTGTCCTCCTTTGACGGTGCGCTGGCCTGGACGTACACGTCCTCGGAGCTCGACAAAACGTCAGCAACGTCCTCTTCAGCAACGTCTTCAGCAGCACCTCCCGCCTCTTTCCTCGTTTCGTTCTTGTGCAGACGAATGCCGATCATTGGAACGCACGAGCCGCCCACCGCAAGCACCGCGACAAACAGCAGAGACCGCACGTAACTCGGCAGGAGGTTGTTCATCACTGCGCCCAAGACAGTACCTCCAAATGCAACGGGCACCATGCCCAGCGCGAGCTCTACGTCGATCAAAGGACGGTCTGACGCAGCATTCGCGACGGCGCCGCCCAGAATGGCCACGTTGGCAACAGGCGTCGCGCGCTTGATCTCAAAGCTCATGACCAGCACCATAACCGGCACTAGAATGACACCGCTACTGACGCGACCTGCTGAAGACACGGCTAGTCCGAGTGTCATGAGCGCGATAGCAAGTGCATCGTAGGTGTTGAGTTCGGACAGACTTGGAATGCCGCCACTGTCATTGTCGTCGCTTTGACTGCGACTGCTACGACTACTGCTCTTGGCATCCACATGGGCAGCAACTACTGCAGTTGCAATCGCTGCCAGCAGGAGCAGGAAAAGGGCAGCACGGCGACAAGATACGGGCCAATGGTCGACATAGCCATTGTGGCGTTGCTGCAACGAACGACGTGCGCGTAGACCCGCTTTTATGTGGTGACGAGTACACCATGTTGAAGTGGACGACGGCGTATCGACACGCGACTTTTGCAGAGTGTGCTGCACAATTTGATTACGTTCGTGGCCGGCGTACATTTATGTGCAAGCCGTCGGTTGCCTATTGAGCGGCCGTTTGCCGGTTTGACTGCAACCTGATGACACTGTACCACATGTAATAAATGATGACACTGTACCGCGTGTGGATCTGCAATGATGCACTTGCACGAACGCATCAAAGCTGGTTATCATCATCCCAGCGCACTTTCAACACCTAAGCTGCAGTGCTTGCAACAGTCAGTCGAAACCGTCGTAGCTTACCGAGCACACGCTCTCTCGACGTTGAAGTTTGCTATTGCTTTTGCTGCAGATCGCGCCGCTGAAGACGCGGTATGCAGACGTTGGACTACGACGTTGTTTGTGACTTCGATGCCAAGTGCACAGCTCTGATTCTTCACGTTGCGCAGCACCTGGTTGCGCGACATACTTCACCGGACAGTGATCCGTTACGATATCGGCCCAACGCGGCACATGCATGGACATGAACGTCTCGAGACTTTGTCTCAGATGCAGTTTTATGTCCATCCTTTATCAAGTCCTTTGTCTTCGTTGTGGGCGTCAAGGCGTTCACGGCATTTGTTGCAACTGTATTACACACAAGCTGGACGCATTACCCGTCCATTGTGTTGCACGCATCTGCGCCCATAGGAGTGCTTGGTACAGCACAACAGTGTACGAAGCATGTTGCGAAGCACTAAGCTCCACAGCGCACAGGCAGTTGCTTCTCGGTCGCTCGCTTTAGTCGGCTCAAGTGACGGACGAGTCTGGCTTGACCTTGGTCCCAGCTACATGACGTCTAGTGTTTGCTTGTCCGCATGCAGCGGAATGGCTTCGAACGTCGGTGACTGCATGCGGTTACTGGCGGTACGACGAACCAAGAGCACAACGAAGAAAAAGACGAGGCAACTGGACACTGCCCACACTAGCGTATCGAGCACAGCAGCTGCCTCTGGCGAGTCGTCGAGGCTACCGAAGTCGCTCGTGTTGACACCCCGGACGCGATCTTTCGCAGATTCCCTGTCCAGTCGTTCGTTGTCGACCAGGGACTCGACAAATGGACGCAGCGTGTCAGCGACGCATGCGTGCTTAAGAGTCTTTCCAATCAGCTTCTTGAACGTCGAGAACGGACAGCGGATATCAGTAGTTCCATCGCCAATATCCATCTCCTCCGAGCACGACGGGATGGTGACTTGCACACGGTCTGGAGGCTGCTCGTACAAACACAGTTCGAGTCAGACCGGATCTCTTGGCATGCAGCAAAGAGGAACAACCCACGTTTTCAGGGCCCAACTTATCACCGTTGCGAATTTGTGCAGGAGAAGCCGCGACGAAGTACAGCTTTACGTAGAACCGACTGTCGTTATCACGGTGCGGCCCGCTTTCCCCTCTGGCGCGCCAAGATGCGTGTTCCTCAGTCGCAGTTGCCGACTCAAGCTTTCGGGACTCTGACACGACACGAGAAGGCTGATCATCTTTGGTTTTTGCTGGCGTTGCGTGGAGCTCGAAAACAAGCATGCTTCCTGGTACGGGCTGGTGCGGATGCCACCCTTTCGTATACCACTGTAGTCTATTGAACAGAAAACGAGTTGTCATGCAAAAGTGTTCGTAACAAAAGCATGCTACCCATTGCTACGACAACCAGCCATCTCCAAACGAACCTTAACAAGTTGCGGACATACAGCAGGTTGATATCATGGGCAGCATAATACAGCAGTCGATTGTTCGGTCCTTGCGCAAGGTGAGGCCCGTCACCCTTCGCTACGGGCAACGCCTTTTGCAAAATGTTCTGCTCGAAACTAGCCGTGAGATGGGCGAGGAGTGTCGCGCCAAAACTTGCGCTATTGATTTCGTTGGTAATGAGGTCCATGTGAGTCTAGCAACAACAACGTTGGGGATCGTCAGTAAAACGACGGCTAGGATACACAAAAACAGATCGGAACGCAACCTCGTGGATCTTGGCCAGAGACAAGATCGTTTCGAACGAAAACTGCGAAGGCAGGCTCATGTTGTTGAGACTTTGCAGCAGCAGCCATTCCGAGAAATAGTTTGCGTTCGAGAGGGTGTCGCTCCAGGGCATATAAAACGCCCCATTCCATGTCGTGGGAATTCCGAACAGGTCGCACGTGGCAGAGCTCTGTGCTGACTTCATGCTAGCAGACTCCTCGACAAGATTGCATACAGATGTGGCACAACACTGAAGAAGGTCGTTGACTGCAGTAACCTCCTCTCGTATGTCTTGTAGCACGAACGTCGTGTCATTGCTTCCAGTGATGCCTTCGTACACTACACAGTCCATCGTGGATACAAAGCGTGAGGGATTCAGACAATCAAAACAGGTAGATGGAGCATTGTTCGACCCATCTTGCAAGTACGCACTGGCTTTCGAGCACACAGGGCACTTGGCTGTAGGGTCTTGTCCCTGCTCAAAAAGAAGCCGCGTCTCCGTGGTCATCGGCACGAGATCTTTGCACAGCGGATACAGCCCGCTCAGAAACGCGACCGCTGTCACCTTCACATATCAACATCCGAAATCCCGATTCACCTACCGCACACAAGACGTTGCTACGAGCACATGCAGTACGCACATTGTCTCGCTCGTTGTTGTCCGCGTAGGCGAACGTTTCGTCACACGTGGCGTTCAGGAATTCACGGTACAAGTGATCTCGAAAGTACTGCCAACAAAAAGGAGAGACGATACATAGCACGTCACCCCACACAGATACTACTGCACCGTCAATCATAGCAACAAAATGCACAGCTCGTAGAAATACCTTTCCCATACGCTCGACAACATAGAAGCCGTGCTTCGTGAGCTTGGGTGACACAGTCTCCGCTGGATCTTCCGTCTCCGAAGTGCCCCATTCGTAGGCGCTCAGCGGTAGAGTGACACTTGGATTGCGCACGTACTTTTCCAGCATCTCTTTCGAAGGCGCTTCAGTTCCCATGCCATAGGGACCGCGCACGCCATGACGAGACAGCACAATGACCTAAAAGAGTTATGAAAGCACGTGCATGAGACTTCGGTCGACATTGGCTGACGTGGGCCGTGCACGTCATCCAATGGGACTTGACCGACACGCACTGCAGCTTTCGCAACGTACTTGACGTAGACCAGACGTGGGCGCGTCGACTGCTCCGTCCGTGAGCGCAGCGAGTGGCAAGCCGAGCACCACGAGCGGCACGAGTCGACCGTATATCATAATCAGATGATCCCTGTGGCAAAATCGCACTTTGCATGCAATGACGGTACAGTCGTGGTGCGGTTAAGTGCGGATGATTCGGCGTGTCGTCGTCCCTCTTGCAGTTGCTCAAACGTATCCCCATTTGGTTTGACGGGTTCTGTTTCGAACTGCAAACGCACTGACCGTCTGCCGAGTGCAACTCAGTGACGTATGACTGGGTCGAAGGATCGGGACGAGTCGCTGTCGACGGTTACGCGCGCGGAATTGCATACAACGATCTTCTTGCGTCTGATCGATACAATGTTTGCGGACTCGCCGCTGGACTATGTAGCCAAGTAGGGTCACCTGAAGACATTCGAATGTCTATCAGGCTCGACGGTCCAATGGAGCTGTTGAGTGTGATCTACTTGGTTGCGGATAGCGTGTAGATACTTGGCCTATCGATGCTACTGCATGGAATCATGACGATATAGTTGGGATACGTACGCTATGGGGAGACGTGAGTTTGCGGATGCGATGTGGGCTGAACGCATAAGTGACTTCCAACGGCAATTGGTGCACTACATCGAGCACAGAGGATTGAGTCTTACCGGCATGATGCTACAAATAGTGTTATTGACACAGCGGTATAGGAGCTTCCGCTATCGACAGCGCAACAGCTTCGGCACCTGCAATAACAGTTGCTGTGACGCCGCTTGACCAGTACAAATACTTCTCGCCATGAGATAAAGCAAGTGTTTTTGCTCAGACCTAGTGTAACGGGGTTACACGTCGACTGGTAGTCGACAATAGGTGTGGTGCACACGAGGGATGGGATCCCCTTTAAAAGTGATACTAGAACACAGTATCAATTGTTGAAGACTGATGTCTGTCAACCATTGATTACGAGATCTTTTGGGAGGTTTATTCAAAGACATTAGCGAGTAGGTTAATTACGTTGTTCTAATGTGTTCTTTTAGGTTAAAAGAAGAATAAAAATACAGTTCCCATTTTGATCCGGTAGACACGTGCCTCTTTGAGGCGTCTTGTGATCGTTGAGGAGGTAGCAACGCCTTGTTAAGGAAGCTACTCCTTGTGCACTCTGTGCGTTGATTTTCTGAATCGTTTGGTACCCCTGGAACAGGGACCGTAAGCTCTCTGAGCTTGTTGACTCTTTGAGTCGGGTTCTTTGAACAAAACCTTAGCTCTCTGAGCTGTTGACACATTGAGTCGGGTTCGTAGATACAAAGTTGCTCGTAGAGCGTTTAGTCTTCCTCTGACTTAAGGAGCTGTGTAGCTCCGCTACAGGAGGTGTCGATCTGGCTGCAATTATGGGTGCGTGCAAGACGCAGCAGGTGACACAAGCCACATCATGCCTCACTTAATGCTAGGTCATATACCTTTGCTAAGGAGGCATGCGCATACCGCGGTGCAACACATATCTGGGCACGACGAGTGCCTTTCTAATTGTATAACGGGAGTGACAGCTCTAGAAAGCTCGTAGACCTTCGGGGAATGCTTTTCAGCATTTAAGAAGTAAGCGGCTGTCACCAACTTTCTGTGTCCGATAGGGCGGCTGTCACCAACTTTCTGTGTCCGATAGGACGGCAGCAGCAGAACACTGCGGAGCTCGTGGACCTGAATTTAACAGCAATCAGTTACTCGACACTGACTGAGCGGATGTTGGCTCGCAAGGCCTCGGGCCGGGACACCCCGTTCAGCGCCTCACCCGGCACAGAGCTTTCACCACGTTAAGAGGATGCTTCTTGGAGTACAGAGCGAGCAATAGTTGTCCGCGAGGACCTTCTTGCTGACATATCTCCCGTCGCCGGGTCCCAACAACTTGTTGTTACCGGGTATGTTCTTGCGAGCACTAATCAGCTCTCGACTGTGTATTCGCGATAGCGTGGACATGACTCAAGTTCGGAGGATCCGGCGTCGGAGGCGCCTATGGTCCGTCAGAAGCACATCGCCAATATCCTGAACGCAACCGACATGGAGGACGTCGACGAACCGATCCATGATCCGCTCTACGACAGTCGTATCAACAAGGACGACTGGCCTTCGGTCTGGTACGCTCTCGGTTTAGCATGACCGACAACCGCAGTCACCCCTTTTCCTCAGGCTCACGGTTCGACTTCAAGTAAAATTGCCACAGAAGCGCACGATACCCTGCTTTTAATTCAACACGTGAGACGTTTCGACTTTACGGGTGAGCTCCTGGACAGCCTTGATGTCCAAGTCCTGGTCCATTGGACCACTGGCTGGCTTCAGGAGTGCCTCCTGGTCGGGATTCAATCATATCGCGTCCAGGTCCAAGATCATCCGATATATGTTTGGCTTGATTAATAAATTGGAAGCATTACGTATCGAGCTACACTACCCCACTTACCCACTTTACTAGAGTCGAGGGACGATTGGTCCATATTACGGGAGCTCAACCACGCTGCAGACGACATTTTAAAACTGTGTGACCCGCGCGATAAGGTCTGGTTCAGTCAGCATTTTGTTTGTGCTCTTTTATTCGACGCGGAGATCACAGCTTTAACTGACAGCCAAAGCGAACGTGCTTCGCCTTCGGGGTTGCTACGGCGTCACTTGCAGATGCTCAGAAAAAACCCGCACTATAATTCGGATTTGTATCCCGCCGATGCTCAAGAAGCGAATTGGTGCGCTGTTGTACGTTTTTTGCTGACGCTCTCACCCCGGCTGGAGCTCATCAGTTGCTTTTGTACTAAGGGCGATTTTCAGTTGGACCTAGCTGGGCATTTACATGGGGATGATCTTCAGGGAGCGGACGCGTTTGGGTGGAGTGCGTTAATCCCGGAGTGGTTACGTGCAGGGTCGATGAAGTGTCTAGTCATTCGTCGGGAACGGCTAGCACCAAATTCGTTACTCAGAACGTGTGTGGATTTACACACAGTGTGCGCTCCAGCTGGATGTCTGCTTGGCGCAGTCGGCCTTTTCGTGAACGCCCTGTGGCGTGGTGTATTCAAGAAACCCACGTGTCGGACTCCGAAGAAGCTCAAGCGTTAAGTTTACAGTGGGCAACATAGTGAAGAAAACACCGAGCTATCGATCACCCGCCTCTATCGTACTGGAGTACTGCCTCCGCACAGGCTCGGGGAGAGGCGATTTTGCTGGCATCCGAGTCAGCAAAAAAGGCAACGGCGTGGAGCCAGGAATTCTAGAATACGAGGTCTGTTTCCGTTTCTATCAATGGCCTGGTTCTCCTCAATGTAAATTCCCCATCACTCAAGCCCCACTCCCCAATCTGCGGTGCAGCGATCTCATTGAATCAAGGAGGAGTATAAAAGGTACAAGCGGCTTCTACGGTGCTGGGAACTGGCGACATGGAGCCACCGGACACGCCTCCCCCTGGCGGAGGGGCGAAGCCGGCGCGCCCTCTCGTCCCTCCCACAGGGAGTTCGTCTCCACGGGAGACCGCAAAATTCAGGGCTGGCCTGGATATTAAATCAGCTAGAGAGCTCGCGGGATGTGAACAATCGGCTTAGCACAAGTCCTCCTGTGGAAGCAGTCTCTTTCGAGAAGCAAATTTCTTTCGACGTCATAGCCTGCGCTCGCCGGGACGGGCCTCTCCATTCTTAAAGGCCTCAAGAAAACGGAGCTGGACCAAGCCGGTACTCGTACCGGATATAATCAGGGAACATCCCTGAAGACGGACCAAGATACCCGACTCCCGTTAGGATCCGTGAAAGGACATGCGTCTACTGCGGAGGATATGGCGGTTGGGGCCGCCGCCGCGACTGACCGTATGGCTGATGGCTCTCAATCCGTAAGACAGGATGGAGATACCCCCCTCTACCCACCATCCGGGCGGGAGGTTTCACCAGCAGCCATGTTTGTGGCGCTCGTGGACGACATAGCCGAATGTCCTGGTGTTTGGAATCTGGAAGCATATCGCCAGAGGGTGCGGTAGTTATTCGCGGATGTGTATAACACCGTTCCTGTTAGCTCGGAAGAGCTTCCTGCCGAGAGAAAACAGTTCTTAAGGCTCAATGCGGCTGAATCTACAAGCCTCTTGGGCCAGTTTGAGAAGGTATTTGTGATTGGTAAAGGAACCTATGCCGACTGGTAACTACTGGCGACGAGCATCTCGAGGGAACTCTTAACTACCAAGTGGGCTTTTAAAGAGATCGTGCGCAAGCTGTCGAGTCAGCACAAGTGGGACCAAGCGCCGGTTTTCAATCAATGGTCGAAAGTGGTTCGTCAAGGAATTTCTCTCCCCCGCCAGGCAGACAAACAAATCGGTGCAGTGGCACTTGCCGATTTTATGTTTAGTCCGGCAACATTTTCCGGCGTCGACATCGCACGACTTCAGGTGATCGATGCAGCCGCAGCTGGTCAGCTCCAGGTTCGAGATGGTACAGACGACGAGTGGGTATTCATAGCGGGTTTTGTAGAAGGTACGGTAGCTTGCCGCCGCATGCCGGCCTTCTTAAAAGAATGTCCTTTGAAGTGAGAAGCGTCTACGTCTAATCAGCACTATACAAACCCAGGTAAAAGTAGAATTGATTTTACACTTGGACTGGTCTCGGGGATAGTTAAAGTGACCAGGCAGACAAGCAAGGCTATTACCGATACCATCCTAGAATAGGCAGAGATGGCGCATATCAACCTTTCAGCACTCCACCTAATGCTGAGTCAGACGAAGACAATCAGTTATGACCACGTCACAAAATCGATTCATTTATATCTTTAAGAGAGAGACGGCCGCGCGGCACAAAGAGGTGCACGTTCCGTTATATGGTACTGTTTATCGACTACGATTTGCTCATGGTCCGACAACAGGATCGATTTGGCTCATTCAGCAGGGCCTCTATGGCGGCTTTGACGGGCGGCGCGTGTAGTATACTGAACATCTTCGCAATTTTACCCGGTTTAACGACATTGGGAGAATCGAGGCCTTCTTAAAGGCAAAAATCCCAACTGATTTCGATTTAGAAGACCTAGACGCGCACAACACTGAGTATCGGACATCCAATATATGTAGGATTACTTTTGAGCTGGCAGGATGC